AATTCCCACTGGAATGGGATTGGGGTGAGATCTAGCCATGGAATTCCCACAGTAATTACGGTGTTCCCAAGTCCTCCATTCCCAAATCCCAAATTCCCACAGGAATTCTGCTCCCACCTTTGCGCTCCAGCTCCTTCTGCCCGTACCCGACGTATTTCCGGAGGCATTCCGGGCATTCGTGCTTCAGGTAATTCGTCCACCTCTCAGCCACAGTCCCTTCCTGTTCCCAGCGCCTCCTGGTGATCTCAGCAATGTTGTCGGCTGCCATGAATCTCCCGGATTCCAGGTCAAAGGAGATGAAATCCCGCCCGTCGTAGCCCTCCCGGCGGGATCCACGGACGCTCCCGTCGGACAGGAGGTCACAGCCATAAAGCCGCTGTAGAGTGTGGAGACCTGGGGGGATTGCACCCACAGAGACCCATGGAATTGTGTCCCAGCCCCACAGAGCCCCATTCCAGCCCCAGTCTGATGGAGACCCACAGAACCTCATCCCAGCCTCTTGGAGCCCCATGGATCCACATCCCAACCCCATGGATCCCAACCCAGCCCCACAGATCCCATCCTAGGTGCATGGATCAAAAGCTATTCCGTCCCAGCCTAATGGATCCCTGTTTCAGCCCCTTGGAGTCCTGTGAATGCACACCTGAGACCTAGGGATCCCATCCCAATCCTATGGATCCTCACCCCAGCCCTACAGATCCTATTCCAGCCCCACAGATTGAATCCCAGCCCCACAGATCCCATCCCAGCCTCATGGATCCATATCCCAACCTGTGGATCACAAGATATCCCATCCCAGCCTAATGGATCCCTATTTCAGCCTCTCAAAGCTCTGGAAATCCACATTGGAGATCTACAGTTCCCATCCCAGCCCCATGGAGCCCCATGCAGCTCTGCAGTTCCCATTCCAGCCCTACAATTCCCATCCCAGCCCCCCAGCTCCCCCCACTCACCCCCACTCTGGTTGTACCACTCCCGCGCTGTCTCCAGGCTCCTGGCAGCCACGTGCTGGTTCCTCACAGCAATCTGGGTCTCCCTCTCCCAATATTCCGGCTCGACTCAGAAAGAGACCAAGGGAATATGGTGGGGAGGGGATGGGGGAAAGGGGAATTCCAGGGAGTTCATCTGGATCCCTATGGATCCCTGCTGTGACCGGGACCCTCTGGGATCCTGTTTCGGGAAGGGGCGGGAGTGGAAAACGGGGGAGATCTGGAGGGTCCAAAGGTCAAGGAAAAGGTCCAAAGGGTCTGGGAAAAGCGGGATGCCTGGAAAGGGTGGGCAGGGGGGGTCCCAGAGCACTGACGGGGATGTGGGGGGCTCCTGCTGCCAGGAAATGGAGATTCAGGGGTGACCCAGTGCCCAGAAATGGGGGTTCAGGGAGATTCCCATGCCACAATTCGGGGTTCAGAGGGATCCTGATCCCCAGGAATGGGAGATCCAGTGAGTCCCGGGGCCAGATAAGGGGCTCCAGGGGGTCCCGCTGCCAGGAAATGAACCTTCACGGCGTCCCCGTGCCCAGGAATGGGGGCTCAGTGGATTCTGATGCCCGGGAGTGGCGGTTTGGGGGAGTTTCCCTGCACAGGAATGGGGTTCAGGGGGTCCCGGTGCCAGATGAAGGGGGACAGAGGGGTCCCAGTGCTGGGGAAGGGATTGAGGGGGATCACAGGACCCAAAAAGGGGTTATGTGGGGTGCCCCTGCCAGGGAACGGAGGTTTAGGGGGTTCCGGTTGTTGGAAATGGAAGTTCAGGGAGGGTCCCAGTGCCCGGGAATTGTGGTTCAGGGTGGTCTTGGTGCCAGAAATGGGGGTACAGGGGATCTCGGTGCCAGATGAGGGGTACAAGGGAGTCCCGGTGCTGGGGAAGGGGATTGAGGGGGGTCACAGACACAAAGTGGGGGTTCAGGGGGGTTCCCCTGCCCAGGAATGGAGGTTTAGGCGGTGCCCGGTGCTCGGAAAAGGAAGTTCAGGGGGGTCCCGGTGCCCGGGAATGGGGGTTCAGGGGATCTCAATGCCAGATGAGGGAGTACAGAGGGGTCTCGTTGCTGGGGAAGCGAATTGAGGGGGATCACAGGACCCAAAGTGGGGGTTATGTAGCATGCCCCTCCCTGAGAACGGAGGTTTAGGGGGTCCCGGTGCCCTAAAATGGCGGCTCCGGGGGTGCCGGTGACCAGAAATGGGGGTTCAAGGGTATCCCGGTGCCAGATGAGAGAGCACAGGGGAGTCCCGGTGCTGGGGAAGGGGATTGAGGGGGGTCACAGGACACAAAGTGGGGGTTCAGGGGGGTTTCCCGGTAGATGGGAAGGTTCCAGTCCTGGATATGGGGGTGCACGGGGGTCCTGGTGCAGTGGAATGGGGGTTCAGGGGGTCTGGTGCTGCATAAGGGGATGCAGGGGGTCCCGGTGCCCTGGAATTGGAGTTCAGGGGGAATCCCTCGCCGGGAATCAGGCACAACTTTCCCAAGGATTCTTCCTGGGGAAGGCAGTGAGAAGCACAGAGAAAGAAGAAGGAAAACAATTCTTATCTCTGCTTGCTGCTCCTGTTGTTTGGCCCATGTGGAATGTTATGGAGATTGTTTACCAAGAGGGATTTGTTAATTGGGCTCTGCTGATGGTGGTTTGGGCTGATTGACCAATTGGCTCAAAGCTGTGTCGTGACTGTTGGAGACAGTCACGGGTTTTTCTTTAGTATCTCTTAATATAGTATCCCTTTAATATAGTTTTAATATGTTATTAGTGTAATAGAATATAGCTTAATAAAGCATTTGTTCAGCCTTCTGAATCATGGAGTCAGAGCACATTATTCCCTACATGGGGGGTGCCTGAATCAATAAAAGGACTGTAAAATTCTGTGAAACAAAGTTTAAGTAGAGTGAGTAAAAATAAGTAGCTGAGGTGTCTTAGAAATAAAATAAGAAATCAGAGGAGACCAAATTTAGTAGAGGTTGCTTGTCTGAAGGGCTGCCCTTGTGAACCCTGGGTTTGTTTTCGCTGTATTCAGTGTGAAAAATTGTGGCATAGACAGACATTTAGGTAGAGAAGGCCAAGACAGGCACTTTGTCATTTTAAAGAGACAAAGGCTACTCAGAGAGCTCTAAGGATTTTAATACCAACTGGTTGTGAGGAGCAAGGAGATAACAAGTTGTTTAAGAAAAATGGAAACTAAAAAATTGAATTTTTAGTAGATATGGGGGCAACCTACTCCGTGATAAATCAAGTCTTGATGTCTATAACAGATGATTATGTTATGGTAAGGGGAGCAACTGGCCCATCTGAAAAAGTGTATTTTTGCAAACTATCAAAATATGAACTTGGAAAACAAGTGGGCATTTATAAGTTTGTGTAGCAGTTAAAAGCAAAAGATGAGGAAATTGTTTTGGAGGTAAAAGAAAATAATGGATCAAGTATCTCCTGAGATGTGGGCTTCTAACACAGCAGGGAGAGTAAAGAATGCACCCCCAGTGCAAGTGAAGCCTAAAGAAGAAAAACAACCACTTAGAGTTAGACAATATCCTTTAAAGAAGGAAGAGAGAGGAGAGATTAACCCAGAAATTGAGAATTTTTTACAGATAGGGCTATTAAAAGAGTATCAGTCTGAGCTCAATACTCCTATTTTACCTGTGAAAAAGCCTGATGGATCATACCAAAGAGTACAAGATTTAAGAGCTGTTGATAAGATAACTGAGGATTTATACCCAGTGGTTACCAAACCCTACACTTTGTTAGCTTGTTTAACACCTGAATTAACCTAGTTTATGGGTTTAGATTTGAAGGATATCTTCTTTGCCTCCCTCTCCCTGAAGCCAGCCAGAAGATTTTTGCCTTCGAATGGGAGAATCCCAAGAGTGGGTGTAAGATTCAGCTCACATGGATGGCATTACCCTGAAGTTTAGCAGCAGCCCCAGGAGATTTGGAGAACAGCTTGCAGGAGATCCAGAGTCCTGGGAAGCTCCATCAGAGGAAGGAGAGCTGCTGCAGTGTGTAGACGACCTCTGGATAACTACCCGAAGCCAAGAGGCGTGTGTGGACTGGGCAGGAAGCCTCCTGAACGTTCTGGGTTTGCAAGGGTGTAGAGTATCTCAGAAAAAGGCTCAGGTAGTAAAGCAGTCATCTACCTGGGTTATGAGGTCAGTGCTGAACAAAAGACTCAAAGGCAAGACTGCAAGGAAGCAACATGCCAAACCCCAAAACCCCAGACAATAAAGACTGTAAGTTTATAATTGTGAACTGTTAGTTAAACCCCTGCATGCTCTGATCACGGAGGGAAACAGAGATCTCCAATGGACAAAAGAAGCCACATACGCCTTCGACCAGCTAAAGGCCCTCATGTCAGCTCCAGCTTTGGGAACTCTGGGTGTGAGTAAACCATTTTTTCTGTTTTCTCATGAGAAGCAAGGGATTGCTCTGGGAATACTAGCACAAGGCTTAGGCCTGTATCAGAGGGCAGTTGCCTACTTTTCCAAACGACTGGATGCAGCAACTAAAGGATGACCAGGGTGTCTCAGAGCCAATGCAGCAGTGGTGCTGGACATCCAGGAAGCAAGCAAATTCACCCTGGGCCAGAAGATGACTGTGCCGGTGTCCCACACAGTGTCTGCACTGGGAAGTAAAGGGGGGACATTGGCTCTCCCCACAGAGGTTCCTGAAATTCCAAGCTATAATGGTGGAACAAGATGATGTAGAAATTGTGGTAACTAACACTGTGAACCCAGCTCCTTTCCTCAGTGGTAGTGTGGGAGAACCAGTGATCCACAATCACCTGGAGACCATTGAAGCTGCCTACTCCAGCTGCCCGGATCTGAAGGACACCCTTCTCGAGGACACTGAGACCTGGTTTACTGATGGAAACAGCTACACCCTCAGCAGAAAGAGGCATGCTGGGTATGCAGTTACCACCTGCAGAGAGGTAATCTACTACCAACAAACACCTCTGTGCAACAGGAGGAAATAATTGCCTGGACCCGTACCTTAGGATTAAAGGAAATCAACATTTACATAGACTCAAGGTATGCCTTTGGGGTTGTGCATACACACAGAGTGATCAAAGCATTCCAGAAAGTGAGCTCTGGATTGGAAGAAGGGAATGAGCTGGCGGATAGAGAGGCAAAAGAAGCACCTCGAGGTGAGGTAATTGTTGAAACAGTTGAGGCAACCTTAATTCCAGATGGGCAAATTTCTATTACAGGTAAACCAAGGTACAGTAAAAAAGAAAAAAGCTTATTGAGAAAGAAAATGGAACCAAGAGGGGTGGGCTATTACAGATGAAGGGAAAGAAAGGCTTGTGATCCCCTCTTGTATGCTGTGGTCATTAGTGAAAGATGAACATAAAAAAGAACATTGGGGAACAGATGCTTTGTGTAATTATTTGAAAGACATAATCATAACCAGAAACTTACACAGTACTTACACAGTAATTCAGGTAACTCACCAATGTAGCCTTTGCCTCCAAACTAATCCCAAAAATATTCCCAAACCAAATCTTGGGGCAGATTAGGAGATGATATGGACCTGGGCAGCAATGGCAAATTGATTTTTCAGAACTTCCCAGGAGAGGAGGGAACCAATATCCGTTGGTGTTAACAGATACCTTTTCAGGGTGGCCAGAAGCTTTCCCTACAAGAACTGCCAAAGCACAGGAGGTTAGCAAAGCATTGTCACAAGAAATAATACCATGTTTTGGAGTCCTAGCCACAATGTCTTCAGATAGGGAGCCACGTTTTCCACAATATGTGGTGACCCTAAACAAACAACTCAGAAAAGTTGAGAAACGTGGCTGGGGCTCAAAGCAGAAAATTAGATGGACCAATGCATGATTAACAGCCTGGGGATTATGTATATGTGAAGTCTTTTGCAGAGAAGACTCTGGAACCACAGTGGGAGGGACCATTCCAAGTGCTTCTCACCACCTTTACTGCAGTCAAGATTAAGGAACAAAACTGGATCCATCACTCCCGAGTGAAGAAGGCTCCTGAAGGACTTTGGAAAGTTATGTCAGGTGACAACGAACTGAAATTAAAACTTTCTCAGGAAAATTAACAGAGTCTAGGTGAAATGATAAGCACAGTGTAATAATTCCCCAAAGAATAGAAAGGCTTGTAGTTGTAATAGATAATCAAGTAGGTGTAGCTTACCTGCTTGCAGCATTTATAATTATTGCTATAACCACAGCTAATACAGCACCATTTCCATATAATGTAACTAGTATATAAATACCAAAGGAAAACCTGTGATTTTGACTCCCGTAAATCTCTGGGTCAGATACTAAAAATTACAAATGCAACTGTGTAAGAAAGAAGAAATGTTTGGGGATGTAAATATGTGTTTGTCCAGGAATCCTAAATACTGTGACAAATGCTTAACTAACTGCTCTAAGTTTAGACTCTGGATACAGAGCAAAAATCTGTCACTTTGAAATGCATCCCATCAACCATCCCATCCCATCCCAGACAACCTTACTTGTGTATCCACAAGGCTGTGTCTGTCTTAGGACAGCATGCCCCACTATAATGGTAGAAGAGATTACTTTGAATGAAACTCATTTAACTTGTGCATTTGTAACTTTGCCAAAATTGAAGGATGACTTCTCCTATCGGGCACCTGTTGTGTCGTATCAACATATAAAAACAAATTTCACTACTGTCCAAGAAATGTCACCTGTGCCTATAGGGATGAATTTAACTTTGGTTGCCCAACTGATATAACATAATAAACTAAGTAAAATTCTTAGAGAAATTAAAGATGAAGAAAAGAGAACTTTGATTACAATACACCATGACACAGAGACTATACGGACTGTTTAAAAGAACAGAAGAAGGCCCATCCCATCATTGGTGGGAAGTGCTTTTTGGGTGGTCACCAACGGCAATCAGCTTGCTCAATGCCTTAGTTCATCCAATTTTTGTTTTGCTCACTTTAATTGGTATAAGTTTGATTTTGTCTATTATAGTAATGTTAGGAATTGGAGACTGTTGCAGCAAGTAGCAGCTTTAACTTCAATATTGAGAGCATATGGTACAGTTTTAAGAGACAACTACCACACAGCTTTACTAGATGAAGAAGAATCTGTATATTATTAAAAGAATTTACTAACTGTATTTGTCCTGGTTTAGGGCAAATTTTGGCACCCAACGTGAGGCATGAGAACATTAATAAAAAAAGGGTGACAGAGGAATAACAGTTCTTGAGTGACCTAATTTTTGTGTGCTGCTATAGAAACCTCGTTAAGTGACACCATGTGGTCCAGCTTACCCTGATTTGGGTGGCACGTTGTCATGGCAATATTTCTCCCATTTGCAGGCCCTTATCTAAACATGGGTCCTATAACCAAGGCTATTGTGGTGTTACCCAGTTTGTTTTATGGGTGAATAAGGCGAGGAATTCATGGATTTTTAACTTTCTCTGAAAAGCAGGCAAATGGATTCACAGCTATCACACACTAACTGTGTGTTTTCAGGGTTATATTATTAATGGTACCCATGGTGAAGAAATGACACCAAGGAAAATTTTCTCCCAACCCTTTAACCATCTCTTTGGGTCTGCCCCACCAGTTTTTTGAAGGGTTCAGATCCACTCTTAAATGCTAATGATATCATACAGTGGCTGGTGGTGCCAATATGCCTGTCAAGCCTGTTCTATTTAGCAGTCAGAGATAAAACATTTCCCTGAATAACCCCCCCGACACCTACCCCAGAGACTAGGGATGCTGCTGCCCCACTGCCTGACCCTGCTGTACAGCTCATGTCAGAAATGAACCACCCAGAGTGGGTGGGGGTTCTGGTGAAGGAGATGGGCCAGGTGCTGAAGGAGTACATTTCCCCAGCTGGTGAGAAGCCCTCCCCCTGCCTCAAAGAGGGAGATAGAAAAGTCTCCATAATCTGCACAAAGACATTGTACGACGGGGACGTGAAGCTTATGCAACCTGGCTACTTCGGGTCTGGGACCTTATGGGTACAGGAGTCCAGCTGGATGTGGTGAGGCAAGGAATTTGGGGCCCTTGACCCAGGACTCAGGTATGAATCAGGTATTTGTAAGGGAGCCAGAGTCCCTTTCCCTCTGGGAGCAGCTTTTAATGAGTGTCAGAGAGAGGTTTGTCCACAGGGAGAGAATGCAGGAGCACCAGTCCAAGTCACAGGCCCCAAAGTCAGAGCCCAACGTCCCCCAGCTCGACAGAGAGGGTGCACCCCAAGAGCTGACCTGTGGTTCTCCCTGCATGACCACGAGGAAGACATGGGAAGGTGGGATGGGAAACACACTTCTGTCCTGGCAGCACGGGTGCATCAATTCAAGGAGGGAAACGCTAACCAAAACAATTCCAGGAAGGTGAAGGCAGCCTCAACCTCCCATGACCGAGCTGCCAGGTATGATCTGTCAGATCCCCTGGAAGGAACCTCTAGCATGTATGCCCAGGAAAGAAATAATAACCAGGGTTAGAGGGGCCCTGCCTCTAGCCAGGGAGAGGCACGGGAAAACCAGATCCTCTGGACAGTGTGGATCCGAGCTGCCAGGTATGATCTGTCAGATCCCCTGGAAGGAACCTCTAGCATGTATGCCCAGGAAAGAAATAATAACCAGGGTTAGAGGGGCCCTGCCTCTAGCCAGGGAGAGGCACGGGAAAACCAGATCCTCTGGACAGTGTGGATCCGATGACCTGGCACATCAGAGCCACAAAAATATGCTGCCTCAGTTGATTCTGGTGTGCAGTGTACCCTGATACCATTGGGACATGTGGTGAGAATCTGTTTCCATTGCTGGGGTGACGGGGGGATCACAGCAATTGACCCTGTTGGGAGCCAAGGTGAGCCTGACTGGGAAGGAGTGGCAGAAACATCCCGTTGTGATCAGCCCAGAAGTCCTGTGTATTCTGGGCACAGACTTCCTCTAGAACGGTTTTACAAAGACCCAAAGGGACTCAGGTGGGCTTTTGGCATAGCTGCTGTAGAGGCAGAGGGCATTAAGCAATTGAACACCTTGCTTGAACTATCAGAAAACCCATCTGCAGTAGGACTCCTGAAGGTGGAAGAGCAATGAGTGCCAATGGCCACCTTGACAGTGCACCGCTGGCAGTATCGGACAAATTGAGATGCCGTGATCCCCAACCACAAAATGATCCACGAGCTGGAGAGCCAAGGGGTGGTCAGCAAAACCCACTCACCCTTCAACAGTCCCATCTGGACTGTGCGCGAATCTGACAGAGAATGGAGATTAACTGTGGACTGTCGTGCATTGAATGAAGTGACTCCACCGCTGAGCGCTGCTGTGCCGGACATGCTGGAACATGCCGGACGAGCTGGAGTCCAAGGCAGCAGAGTGGTATGCCACTATTGACATTGCTAACGCATTTTTCTCCATTCATCTGGCAACAGAATGCAGACCTCAGTTTGCTTTCACCTGGAGGGGCGTGCAGTACACCTGGAACCAACTGCCCCAGGGGTGGAAGCACAGCCCCATCATGTGCCATGGACTGATCCAGGCTGCACTGGAAAAGGGTGAAGCTCCAGAACACCTGCAGTGCATCGATGACATCATTGTGTGGGGGAACACGGCAATGGAAGTATTTGAGGAAGGAGAGAGGATCATCCAGATTCTCCTAGAAGCCAGCTTCGCCATCAAGAAGAGCAAAGTCAAGGGACCTGCCCTTGACTGGAGAGATCCAGTTCCTGGGAGTAAAGTGGCAAGACGAACGGCATCAGATTCCAACTTAAGTCATCAACAAGATCACTGCGATGCCTCCACCAACCAGCAAAAAAGAAACACAAGCTTTCCCAGGTTACATTCCCAAGCACATTCCCAAGTACAGCCAGATTGTGAAGATTTGTGAATAGTAGCCAATACTCTGTAGAGCTGGCTAAAAAAGTGGAAAAATGCCAACTAGCAGCACAGAAGAAAGCTGAGGAGTAAAAAGACATTACCTTTCAGGTAGAAAATCTCTCTGTAAAAGTCCACTGCGTAGATGCCCATGTCCCCAAAAGAACAGCCCAGTCATCTGCCAATGGCACGTCTCATCCTTGCTATCCCCAGTGTGTGCAACTGCAAGAGAGTGCATAATACACCATTATATGGATGATATTTTAGTCTGTGCTCCGACCGATGATGTGCTTACACACACACTTAACCTGGCAATCAATTCATTGATTGCTGCAGGGTTCGAGCTTCAAGAGGACAAAATTCAAAGGATGCCACCCTGGAAATACCTGGGTCTTGAAATTGGCAAACGCACTATTATGCCTCAAAAACTTAACATTAAAAACAACATTCGGACCTTAGCAGATGTCCAACAACTGTGTGGGTCCTTAAATTGGGTGAGACCTTGGCTAGGCATTCCCACTGACCACCTAGCCCCCCTTTTCAATTTATTGAAAGGGAGAGAGGAGCTTAGTTCTCCTAGGTCCCTCACCCAGGAGGCACGGGCTGCACTGGAAAAGATTCAAGAGTCTATCTCCACCAGACAGCCTCATTGGTATCAACCAGGCCTGCCATTCAAATTTATAATTCTAGGAAAATTGCCACCCCTCGATGGGGTGATTTTTCAGTGGGACCCTACAACTAAGGAGAAGGACCAAGGCTCTAAGAACCCCCTTTTAATTACAGAGTGGGTGTTCCTTAGTCATCATAGGTCCAAAAGAATGACACGGCCACAGGAACTGGTGGCAGAACTGATCCGCAAGGCCAGGTCGCAGATAAGGGGAGCTGGCAGGTCAGGATTTTGACTGTATTCACATTGCACTCCAATTGAATTTGGGCCAAATCACCAAAGGAATGTTGGAACACATGCTCCAGGAGAACGAGGCTTTTCAATTCACCTTGGATAACTACACTGGCCAAATTTCAATTCACAGACCGGCCCACAAAATTTTTAATGAGGATGTCCAATTCTCTCTATCTTTAAAAGAGTGTTCAAAGCAGAACCCTTCTAAAAGCTTTGACTGTTGTCTTGGTTTGAAAAGACAG